TGTCTACAGTATGTCCACAACTTGTCTACAGTATGTCCACAACCTGTCTACAGTATGTCCACAACCTGTCTACTGTATGTCCACAACGTGTCTACAGTATGTCCACAGTATACATTTTGCTTTACAGGCTGATTCAGACAACTGTCTGGTCAACAGTCAGTCTAAACCTGGTGTAGCAGGGTCTACAGCCGGTCTACAGCCGGTCTAGAGCCGGTCCACAGCCGGGACCACAGTCCCAACCTGTCCACGGCATTGTCTACAACCTGGTCTAAAGTTTGTTCAGCGCGTGTGTACAGTATCTTGTGTGAGGACATGGAAAACATCTCCTTCCTTTGATGTCACAGCCACAACACGCCATGGAGCTTCATGCAGTACTGGATCTGACAGAGAGGACTACACCTCCATCGTGTGGTGAGAACAACACCCTGCAGGACAGCTGACTGGAAACCTGACCATCCAGGATGGACTCTCTCCATGTGATTGTTAGTTTAGGTTCTGTCAGAACTTTTCTGACTCAGACCAAACATGCACCTGACCACAGACTGACAGATACATGAACAATGTACAGGGAGTATAAAAATATTTACACTTCAGATATACTGCTGCTTAAATGATTAAAGTGATTTACAAGAACAATAACACATTGTCCTCATTTATTCACAGAGGTTACTGTGAAATACTGATGAGCAGAAGAAGCATCATGATGCACTCGAGTGTTTTTAGTCAGTTTTGTCGTTTCTTCAGGTTCTGTCTGCTCAACAGCTCCTCCTGATAATCTAAAGGTTTCCTACGCTACAAAAATATGAGTTGACAGTTACTATTCTTACAATAACACAATGTTTAACTCGTTTGTACCATACCATGTTATTTATAGAGCACTTAAACAGCTACAAGGCCAACCAAAGTGCTGTACAGACAGAACAACAGACAACACACAAAGCAATATACAAAATGAAGTACATAAAAAATATAGACATAAAAACGATGCAGATAATAAATATGATGACAAATTGTTTATTGTTGCTGTCTGAGATATTGAAATAACACAATGTTGCTTTTTTTAAAATCTTTTAATATTTTATAAAGAAGTTATGTAAAAATGGACATGAACAGAAATACCAGAAAACACACACACACACACACACACACATATATATATATATATATATATATATATATAAACACACACACACAGCTTGAGGATTCTGTGCAGTATCTTAGCTGTTCCTCAAATTCTGTATTTCTTCCGTCAGCCCATGGCATTTCTTCCCGTGCTCCTTCTTCCTGATGCTCCAGTCACTTGAGATTGCTACATCTTTCTCCACTGCCTTCTTATTTTGCTTCTCAACCTCCACAATGTCCAGATAGTTCAGCCAGAGATTAAAAGCATGTTGGGATTTTTTTTCCCTCCAAAACCCATGTTATCACTTTCACCACTTATTGTCTGTCCAAACAGGTCTCACTTGTAAATGTGTCTCTGAGGTTCAATGGGATTTATCTGTTTAAATAAAGGTTGAATGAACGAACGAACGAAAAAGTTAAAAGTTAGCCATCACCTGTTTGTTAGTCTGGATCTGGAAGTGCCACAGTATCTTAGACATTCTCCTCCCTTGATTAGGAGATTGGAGAGTTGCTTCAGACTCGAGGACAGGAGGTTGGCGTGACCACAGGCAGGAAACGACGCTGTGCTTGGCTGGATCTGGATCTCATCAAATATGCCCCCATGGCTTCAGTTTAATTCAGTAGCACCAAATCACAACAAAGTTGTCTCAGGGCACTTTACAGGAACATTCACATCCATCCATCCATCCATCCATCCATTATCTTTACCCGCTTGTTCCATTTTGGGTCATGGGGGTCGCTGGTGCCCATGTCCAGCAATCACTGTGCGAGGGGTGGGGTACACCCTGCACGGGTCTCCAGTCCATCACAGGGCCACATAGAGACAAAAAAACATTCACTCTCTCACTCACACCTAGGGACAATTTAGAGTTACCAGTCAGCCTAACATGCATGTTTTTGGTCTGTGGGAGGAAACCGGAGTACCCGGAGAAAACCCACGCATGCACGGAGAGAACATGCAAACTCCACACAGACAGGCCCCTGGACCAGGGTTTGAACCAAGGACCTGCTCGCTGAGAGGCAGCAGCTCTACCAGTTGCACCACCGTGCTGCCCATTCACATACATAGAAAAGCCAATTAGTAAAGTTCTCTATCTAATGAAGCAGCAAAGTTGAATCTTCACTTCGTCACAGTTTCCCATCCTGAGCAAGCACAAAGGCAACAGTGGAAAGGAAAAACTCCAGCAGAACCAGCTCAGGATGAGCAGACATCTGCTTCGACTGGCTGGTTTGAGAGGACAGGAAGGAAAGACAAACAAACACAGAATGGGTTCACTGCCTAAGTTTACTTTATCTGGTTCTTATTAATATTCGTGTACATGCATCTTTTGCCATTTGTTTTCTCTTTGGGCAAGTATTTTTATTAAAAAATCTGAAAGAGATCAAGTTTTCAAAAATGAAGTTTTTTTTACTATTTAGACAGAAAGATCTAGTAAAACAATAATCGATTAGAATGGTCATCAATGATTAGAGTAATTATGTTTTAAGAAGACAGTTAATATAAACTAAACAAATTTTATTTTCACCAACAATATTGATGTATTTGTGTGTTGCAACATGCTGCAGCCTGTTGCAGCCTGATTCAGCGTGTTGCAGCTTGTTGCAGCCTGATTCAGCGTGTTGCAGCTTGTTGCAGCTTGTTGAAGCCTTTTGCAGCCTGTTGCAGCCTGATGCAGCTTGTTGCAGCCTGTTGCAGCCTGTTGCAGCTTGTTGCAGCCTGTTGCAGCCTGATGCAGCGTGTTCCAGCGTGTTGCAGCACGTTGCAAATGGACTGTACTTATATAGCGCCTTTCTATCTTATTTCAAGATACTCAAAGCGCTTTACACTACAATCTGTGTCCTCATTTACCCATTCATAACTCACTCTACTAGATCTCTACAAAGCTTAGCGTGTTGCAGTGTGTTACAGTGTGTTATGTGCTGCAGCGTGTTACAGCGTGTTGTAGTATGTTGCAGTGTGTTACAGCATGTTGTGTGTTGCAGCGTGTTACAGCAAAGACAAAATCAGTTATTTTCACAAGAAAAACCACCTGACAATAGTGAACTCAGGTTATATGGAAAAGTAATTGAAAGAGAAAAACAATTTAAGTTTCTGGGCATATGGTTTGATGAGAGACTAACATGGACAGTGCACATTCAAAAAGTTATTGATAAATGTAAAAGGATTCTAAATATCATGAGGTGTTTGACAGGGAAAGACTGGGGAGCAGACAGGAAAGCACAAAGGACCATCTACACAGGATTAATCAGATCAATAATAGATTATGGGAGTATTGTTTATAGTTCAGCTTCAGAAACAAATTTAGAAAAGCTAAACAGTATTCAGTGTCGTGCATTAAGGATCATTACCGGGGCATTCAAAACAACACATACAGGATCAATATTAATAAAAATGGGCGAACCACCACTGAACATCAGAAGAGATCAATTAGCTTTAAATTTCTGGGCAAATCTGAACGGACACGAACAAAACAATCCAACACAAGAAATATTAAAACCATGCTGGGAAAAAGAAAAGAAACACAAAAAGCTTTGGCTGGACCATAAATCAAAAGTCAGCAGAAAGTCAAATAGATAATCTTAACGTCAGCCCAACAGTTCCACTTCCAAACATTCATCCATGGTTATTCACAGACACAACAGTTGATTTAAAAATATTAGAACAAAATAGAAATGGATTGAATTCAAATACAGTTAACGAACACATCAATAAATATTATGGATATGTAAAAATATATACAGATGCTTCAAAAAACACAGCAGGACAAATAGGGGCAGCATTTATTGTACCAGAGTTTGGAGTTAAAGTAGGGAAGAGATTAAACAACAAATTATTATATACACCGGAGAAATGGTCGCAATATTATTGGCAGTTCAGTGGATAGAAGACAATCAATCACTCAGATCAGTCATATGCTCAGATTCCAGTTCATCATTAATTAGTATAAAAAACAGTTGTTCAGAAAGCAGACCAGACATATTGATGGAAATACAGCAAACATTATTCAGAATTAAGATGATGGGGTTAACTATTGCATTTTTATGGATTCCAGCACACATAGGGATAAGAGGAAATGAAATAGCAGATAAAGTTGAAAAGAAGGCCACCAAAAACAACTCAGTGGAAATAGATTTAAAATTCAGTCGGGCAGAAATAAAAAGCATCACAAAGCAGAGAATGAGGGGAAAAGGGCAAAAGCAATGGGAAGAAGAAAGAAAAGATCGATGGTTTTACAAAATTCAATGAAAAGCTGGAGAAATGAGGAGAGCTGAAAGAAACAGAGGGGAGGAAACTGTCATCTCAAGACTCAGATTTGGACACACAGGGTTGAACTGGACATTATTCATGACAGGGAAGCAGAACACCAGTAAATGTGACCACTGTGGGGAAGATGAGAACATAGAACATGTGCTAATGATCTGCAAGAAATACAATCATGAAAGAAGACAAATAATTCATAGACTCACTGCAATAAACGTCAGAGTCGACCCTGTAGTGCTGCTACAAGGAAACTCAAGTTCTGCAACTACCAACATCTTGTTGAGATACCGGAAACGGACTCATTTATTTGAAAGAATATGAATGTTATTTATACATCCTTATGGATATTTTAGAAGGATGGATATTTGGATTTTATTTTATTATGGATATTTGTTGAAATCAGGTCTCTCTTGTAAATGAGTCCTCGAGGCTCAACGGGATTTACCTGTATAAATAAAGGTTGATTGATTGATATATTTTTTCAGCGTCATGCAGTTTACAATCTAAACCAGCAGGTGGCGGTAATGCTTCAAAAAACTTGAATGCCAACCTACAAAGAAAACCGAAGAAGAAATATCTCCAACAGTCGTGTTGTCATAAATGTACATTACAGCCTATAATTTCTTAATGAATGTATTCCGAAGCTTCTAGAAGGTCCTAGGTGGTTAGGTGTGCAGCAGACCGTCCACCTGCGGCTCCCTGAACCATGGCGGCCTCGAGGCTACCGCGCGCGGCGCTCTCTCTGAAACAGGTATAAACACCAGCGGGACGTTTCCTGTTTTTGTCCCCACACAGCTGTCAGCTCCAGATGTGCTTTTGTCTCAGTACCTGCAGCGGCAGAAGGTTCTGGGGCTCTACAGAAGCATGCTGAGGACCATCAGGCAGGTACCGGACGAGGCGGACAGGAAGTACCTGCGAGACTGGGCCCGAGACGAGTTTCAAAGAAACAAGAACGCGAACGATCAGGTGAACAAAGTTTACACGTTCAGTTTATTGACGCCAGGGAACAGCTGGGAGTAGTAAAATAAACTTCCCCAGGTTTTAACGTGCACATGTATTAATGCTGATGCTGTATTCTAGTATTATTGAGTCCGTGTTCTGCTTCTGCAGCGTAAATAGTTGATTGTTTATTTGTCATATGCAGGTTCACACAAGGTCAACAATGAAATGTTCAGCATGAGAAGAACTGATTTGGCTATCTAAAAAAAAAAAAGAAAGAAATACTAAAGCTTGCGAGTAAAGTACTAAATAAAGTACCAAAAGTAAAAAGAAATGTATTTACAAGGTCCCAAAGAAATATAGCAAACAACATGGTAGAATATAACGGTGCAAGTAGGATGAATAAGTACTTCACAGGTAGTAATATTAGCTTAAATGCACAATATATATTACACGTAACTAACACAAACTACACAGGTTGTGTGACAGGTTATTGCACAGGTTGAAGATGAACTATGGCAGATAAGATACATACATGATACAGCAATACAGTCAGTAATTCAGTATTATTATCAAGAGTTCAGTAATCTGACAGTTTGCAGGTAATAACTGTCTTTGAGTCTTTGTGTACGTGATGACAGACTCCTGTATCGTCTGCCTGAGGGTAGTAGATGGAAGAGTCCTTGTGCTGGGTGGGTGTGGTCCTTAATGATGCTGCGTGCTTTGCGCAGACATCAGCTGTGGTAGATGTCCTGGATGGTGTGGAGACTGCTACCAGTGATGTCCTCCGCTGTTTGCACCACCCTCTGTACAGCTTTCTGTCTCTGACTGGTGCAGTTCCAGTACCACCCACAGTTCCAGTACCACCCTGTGATGCAGCCGGTCAGCAGGCTCTCAATGGTGCACCTATAGAAGTTGGTGAAGATGCTGGTGTTTGTACAAAACTTCTTTAGTCTTCTTAGGAAGTAGTGTCTTTGTTGGGCTTACTGATTGGCAGTGGCGGCTTTTATTATCTGATGTTAAACAATAGAAGTATTATTAGGAATGACTCGTATGCATGTACTCGAGGCTAAATGTTAACTCACTCAGTGCTACAGTAAATCATTTGCCCAAAGATGTGAAGTAACGAGCATTTTGTGTGTCTGAAGTCTCCTGGAATTTTAGAATTTACTCAGGTGACATCAGGGAATTTGGTTTTCTGGAAATGTTTTGTTTTTCCTCAGAAGTTTCCAAGTTCTGTTGGAAGTTTGGGCAGAAGCTGTGTTGGATTCATTCAACATTCTGCAGAAATGTTCTAGCTGAACTTTATCAGCTCTTTTGTTCCCTCACTGTTTCAGGACGCCATCCGCATGATGATCACCCAGGCCAGCAAGCATCTGGAGGAGCTGCAGAAGTCTCTGGCACTGGCTCAGAGTTAGAAACAGCTGCGAGAGGACTGTTCCACACTGCAGACCATCAGGACTTCTGTTGAACTGCAAACACAGACAGTGATGGAGAGGCGTGCCGAGGTCTCTGATTGGATGAAAGCAGCCTGAATATTCATGCTGGGTCTGATATGGTACAGTTCTGCTCATAGTGACCCTGCAGGTCACACTATGACTGAATAAATAAATCAAACACATCCAGTGGTAATTATTTTTAATAAAGACGGTCTTCTGAACCATTTATATGAAGGCAAAACTCAAACAGTTAATCTCTCTCCATGCAACACACTCATCGTGGTTCTCCTTTAAATCTGCGCTGGTTTAGGAACTGATGAGACCAGGGTCAGAGCTCTGCAGGGGTTTCTGCCTGTTCACTCACTGAGCTCAGTTTATTCAAAGATCCAGAACAAGCTCAAGAAGCTGTTTTTGCTAAACCCCTTTAATAGCTCATACTCTGAAAGCTTTGCTTAAATGCACTTTCTCAGCAACTTGCCTCAAAAGTAAAATTTGGGTTGGTGTTAAATAAAATGTTCGAGTTGAAAGTCTACCAAGGGAAGTCCTATAAAGTAGAATAGTTGAACTCAGGGCGCTGTCCTAGTGGGGGAGGGTAAAGTCAGTCAGAGTCAGAGTCAGAGTTTCTTTATTGTCATTCGCACCTCATGTGGTACATGTGGTGGAGCGAAATTATGTACACAGGGTCCCAGTTACATCCAACAATAAAATGTATAAGAAAAACAGTAATAACATCTAAGATATGAACTAAGAAAAACATCAACTAAATATACACTAAGCACTCATAACATAAAACATTGAACATCACCACAAACATGAACATGAGTCTGTGAGCAGATGTGCACGCATGAACACATCAACATTGAAACAGATCAGCAGCAACATGAAACAGATCAGCAGCAACATGATATGGTTTTTCACAGTGATTATTCTAGTTAGAGATTCATGAGTCTAACAGCCTCAGGGTAGAAGCTGTTCCTCAGTCTAGTGGTTCTACACTTAATGCTCCTTAACCTCCTTCCTGAGGGGAGTGGGGCAAAAAGTGTGTGTGCTGGGTGGGTGGGGTCCTTCATGATGCAGGTGGCCCTCTTCCTGCATCTGGAGGTGTAGATGTCTGTGATGGTGGGGAGACTGATTCCAACAGATTTCTGTGCAGCCTTCACCACTCTCTGCAAAGCTTTTCTTTCTGCAGCTGTGCAGCCTCCATGCCACACATTGATGCTCGAGCACAGGATGCTCTCCACTGCACACCTGTAGAAGGAGGTGAGGACTGAGCTTCCCAGACCAGCTCGCCTCAGCCGTCTGAGGAAGTAGAGTCTCTGATGAGCTTTCTTGATCAGGCTGGTGGTGTTGTTGCTCCAGCTGAGGTTGTCATTCATGTGTACACCCAAGTACTTGTAGCTGGAGACCACTTCCACCGCAGATCCTCTTATGTTCAGGGGGGTGTAGATGTTTTTGTTCCTTCTGAAGTCCACAATCATCTCCTTTGTCTTCTTCACATTGATGTGAAGGTTATTCTCTCTGCACCAGCTCTCCAGGTGTTCCACCTCCTGCCTGTAGCTGGACTCATCATTGTTTGTGATGCATCCCACCACCGCTGTATCATCTGCAAACTTTACAATGTGACAGCCTGGATGGGTAGCTGCACAATCATATGTGAGCAGAGTAAACAGGAGGGGGCTCAACACACATCCCTGAGGAGAGCCAGTGCTGAGGGTTATGGTGGAGGAGGAGAGGTTGTGGATCCTCACTAACTGTGGTCTGTTTGTTAAAAAGTCTAGTACCCAGTTGCAGATGGAGGGGCTTAGTCCTAGTGTGGATAGTTTGTCCATCAGGGTTTGGGGGATCATGGTGTTGAAGGCGGATGTGAAGTCCACAAAGAGCATACAGACGTAAGAGTTTTTCTGCTCCAGGTGGTTGAGTGCAGTGTGGACCACAGAGGAGATTGCATCCTCTGTTGATCGGTTCTCACGGTATGCGTACTGATGAGGGTCCTCGTTGATGTTGATGGTTGTTTTGATGTGAGTCATGACCAGTTTTTCGAAGCATTTAGCGACTATCGGGGTGAGGGCCACTGGCCGATAGTCATTCAGACCAGTCACTGTAGAGCTTTTTGGGACTGGGATGATGGTGGCAGTCTTCAGGCAGGTGGGAACTGTCTCCAGGGTAAGTGAGGTGTTAAAGATGTCTGCCAGCACCTCACAGAGCTGATCAGCACATTCCTTCAACACTTTTCCGGGGATGTTGTCTGGGCCAGTTGCTTTGTGCGGATTAATCCTCCTGAAGGTACTCCTTACTTCTGCTGAGGTCACGCTGAGATGCTCTTCATCCGGTGGTGAGGTGAGTCTGGTGCTGGGTGGTCTGTTCGGGTCTTCAAAGCGTGCATAGAACTTGTTGAGGGCATCAGGCAGAGATGGGTCTTTGGGACATTGTTCACTCCTTCCTTTATAATCTGTTATGCACTTAATGCCCCTCCACATGCTCCGAGGGTCTTGTGAGATGAATTGACCCTCGATCCTCTTTGCATATGTGGCCTTGGCCCTCTTAATACCAGCAACCAGCTCTTTTCTTGTCCTACTCAGCTCCTCTGAGTTTCCAGACCTGAAGGCAGTGTTCCTGGCTTCCAGCAGGGTACGCACCTCTGCATTCAGCCAAGGTTTTCTGTTTGGGTAGCTTTTAACATATCTGATAGTGGAGACTGTGTCAGTACATGTACTAATGTAACCCAGTACTGAGGATGTGTATTGGTCAAGATCATGCGAACCTCCATTTTCAGCAGCTTCTCTGAAAACCTGCCAGTCTGTTCGATCAAAACAATCTCTCAGTATGGGGCCACTGTCCTGGATCCAACATTTAACTTTCTCTTGTACCGGTCTGGAGCGTCTCAGCGGGGGCATGTAAGCAGGAGCCAGGAAGATTGAGATGTGGTCTGACAGTCCTAGGTGGGGGCGGGGTTCGGCTTTGTATGCATTTTTTACGTTCGTGTAAACACGGTCCAGCGTGCGGTCTCCACGTGTCGGAATCGTCACATGCTGATTAAAGCTTGGGAGACAGTCCTTTAGATTCACGTGGTTAAAGTCTCCGGCTACAACGTAAAGAGCCTCGGGGTGTTTGTTCTGCAGCGAGCTGATGATATCATGTAGTTCCTGCAGTGATTCATTAGCATTAGCGTCCGGAGGAATGTAAACAACTGTGATAAAAGTCACTGTGAACTCTCGGGGTAGATAATGTGGCCGACATTTCACTGTTCACTAAAGACAGCGCTACAAGTGGTTTTTTTGGATTTGAGAGAAGGATTACACTGTGTGTGCAGCTGTCGGGGCTAATAAACTACTAGCATGATCTGATCTGTACACGTTGCTTCTTCTAGTCTTTTATAATTTACATGAAAGCCTTTTCTGTTATTAAAATCAGTAAAATAATTTTGATTGCAGATCGCTGTCCTGGGCTCAGCAGTGAGCACACATCTTTGTTTTAGGCCACCTAGAAATAAAACTAGTCATGGACTAAATAGAGCCCACCCTCTAGGGTTTTATGGGCAAATTAATCTTTTATGAAGCTTGTTTCATAAGTGGAAGCTTTTCAGCTTTGTCTTCTTTGGCGCCATCTGGTGGCCATAAGTCTAAAGAGCAGCTTGAAATGAACTGCTTCAGAGTTGACAGCTGTTTAATGTCCTGAGACCTTTCTGTCTCATGTCAGGCACAGTGTGATGCTTTGAACATTTATTTATAGGTGAAAGAATAAAGTTGTGGTTATTTGACGAATAAACTTGTTTAAAACGTGGCATGATGGTTGTGACTTCTTGACATTTGTAAACACAGATTTAAAAACATCCATTATCTTTATCCACTTCTTCCTTTTCGGGTCACTGGTGTCCATATTCAGCCATCTGAGAGGCAGCACAAAGAGAACATGCAAACTCCACAGATTTAAAATAAGTCATATCTAATTCACAACACCAGTCTGGAAAGACACTTGTGCTGCAGGTTTCCAGTCTCCATGACTTTATGTAATGAACCAGTTTACTGAGACCAGATTGTAGCTTACTGACTGTTTTGAGTTTTTTTTTTCTTCCTTGTGGTAAAAGTACTTACAAACTGGTAAACTAAACTTAAAAGGTTCCATGTCGCTCCCTGTTTTGTTTTTTTGCACAAATTACACCACAGATCATGCCGATCATTTACTTCCTCATAAACCTTTGAATCTGGTACCAAAGCAGTGACGTCACTTCTGCACTCTTGAAGCTTCAGGTGTCATTGATCACGTGACTTTAGCCAATCAAGCTCTGACACAGAGCTACAGAAACACTGGTGTTTTTTTATACAGGCTCCAGAGCTTCAGACTAAGACGTCAGACCGACATTACTAAGTTCAGATCTTTACCCACTTTTAAAATGGTTCAAGTCGAACCTCATGTACAAAAACTCAACAGATTCCATGAGTCATTGTATTAAACAAAAGCTAAATGAAAATCTGTGTGAAAACTGGTTCCAGTCAGATCCAGCAGCTGGTAGAACCTCCTTCAGCAGCAACACATCTCAGCAGTGGTTTTCTGTAGGTCTGTGATGGTTGTGGATGAATTATGGCCCACTCTTCTGTCCAGTGTTGATCAGTTCTTTGATGTTTAGACATTTGTTTCCTCTGAAGGTCTCACTACAGTGTTTATAACAAGTGCTGTGTGACGTCATACAGTGATGACATTAGTTCTCTTGAACCATCACACCTGAGATACACCCAGGTGGAGCAGTGGGCAGCTATGTAAGCACCCGGGGAGCAGTTAGGGATTAGGTGTTTTGCTCAGATTGAGATGTGGGAATAACTGGGGATCAAACCTGGGACTTTCGGGTCCCAGGTCTGCTGCCCAACCTCTGCCTCTACCCCATCTTGGCCCCCGGGTTAGGTCTGGTAGAGTCGTTGGACTTTGGCTGGACTGTTGCAGCACCTCGATTCTTTCCTTTCTGACCTGTTGTAGATCAGCTGTGTTTGACATCATGGTCCTTTTGATCCACTTTAGTCCAAACTTCAGCTGTTGGTGAGGTCACATTGGACTCCAGAATGGTCCACTCAGGGGCTGCAAGGAGCCCAAACCACCAGCCCTCCACCAACATGATGGAAAATGGGCATGAGATGATTGTGCTTATACGCTGGCTGGTTTTCTCTAATGTGCTGCTGTGCATTATGGGTAACCGTCTGTACGTTTTTCATGTCTCCAAGAGACATTGTTCCAGAAGTCATGTTCTTCATTCAGATGTGAGGTCGTGCTGCCATGTTGTTTCAGAGAAGCTGTTTCCCAAACTCTTTTAAACAAGTCATGCCTGTTCAGTCCGTTTCTCGTCCTGTCAAGACCTTTAACCTGCTGAACAAGGCCGAGTCTCAGATGAGGCTCGTTCCTCTGAGCATTGCACAGTCTGACCTTGGGGTGAATTTGCTGGAACGTCCGACAGCAGTCTTAAATGTTTTCCACTCGTGAATAATCTTTGTCTGTAAATCGATGGGAGTCCAAATAGTTTGGAAATGACCCTTGACCAGACTGATATGCAGCAACAGCTGCTTCTCTAAGGCCATTGCTGATGTTGTTTGATATAAGAATGATTATTTTGATGCTTTTATGTCAATTTGTACTTATTTTATACTCATTTTATATGCAGCTTATCTGTGCAACTCAGGCCTGTACTGCAGATGTGTTTTGGAGGAATGAAAATAAGCCTCCGGGAGTGCTCTTGCCGCAAGATCTGGCCCGTCTTGCGATTACAGTGACCCGGAGTTTGATGTAAACAGGTCTTTCATCCACCCACGACCTTGGGTTTGAAAGACATGTTTTTATTCAATTCAATTCAATTCAATTCAATTCAAAAATACTTTATTAATCCCAAAGGGAAATTATTTGTTGTTGTAACTCGTTATCCTCATTTCATTAAGAGATGTTAAAGATGCTGATGGCTGTAGGCAGGAAGGATCTCTTGTAAAGGTCCATCCCACAGTGGATCCTAAGAAACTGGCTGCAGATGCCGTCTGATCCATCCACCCAGACTCAGCTGGCCTTTCGGTTCTCCCGGGCTGTAGGACCACCTCCCAGACTCCACCTCCCAGAACTCCTCCCAGAGCGATGGCCACTCCTCCCAGCAGTCTACCGAGCTCCTCGTCATTGCGGATAGCCAACTGTAGGTGCTGAGGGACGATCCTGTCCTTCCACTGTCATGAGCCGTGTTTCCTGCTAGTTCCAGGATCTCAGTGATCAGGCACTCCAACACAGCTGGCAGGTAGATGAGAATGCGTCCACAGAACATCCTTTTCAACTCATTTGAGATTTGGGGCTGCATTTGAGATATTATTTGAGCTTTTCAGATGTTAATCAGCTGCTGTTGGTTGTAGAAAACTGCCTTGTTGCTATGGTTACGCATCATAACAAATGTCCAAAACTAAATAAGTTTCAGTAAAAATCCTTCCAGCTGCACAGCATCTGATACCAGAGGAAACAATCATCCAAAAAATGTGATTTACATCCAGAAAAGAGTAATTAAAGTTTCCAAAAGCAAAATCTCAGAATGAACGTAACAGAGCTGCTCCAACATGCAGCCACCTTGAGCGGCGCAATTCTAGAACTATGAGCCATTGCTCTGCTGTACAAACTGCCTTCATGATGGAAAACATGTTTTACTCTGCCTGCACGTCACCCAGTCAGAGGGGGAGTATAAAAAGCGTAACACCCAGAATAAGAGTTGAAGTCTGCTGTGAATTCTGGATCCGATGCCCAGCCTGAATTGATGTTACCTTTCTACTCGGACTGAAAACTGCTTCCTCGGTCTGGTGTCACGGTGAGGGGTTTCTACATCAATGCTTGATTTGTACTGAATGTACGTTGCTTTGCTGTATCTGTGGCGGTTTAATAAATGACACTTATTATTCTAGCAGAAAACAGCCTGCGAGTTTCTTTTGAGAGTTTTCATTCATTGCTCCGACCTTTCCCTGAACCTGTATCTATCTTGTTAAAGATAATTTCATAGAACATTGTTCCATTTTGGCATTGTATTAACACACACTGTCAAACTGAAAAACTCCTGTTTCACAGAGGAGGTCCCACTGATGAGGTTGAGGACACTGAACCTCCCGAGTCCTGCAGAAGCAACTGGAACCAGTTATTCCCTCCCAGTTTGAACACTTTCTGTTTATTTAAAGATGACTTGGTGGAATCTGTTGTGACTCTGTTCATTTGAAGATATATCTGAACCAGTTTATAAACTGGTGAAGACCAGATCTGTTCTGTGTGTTTCCTCTACTCTCTTACTGTAACCTTGAACACACCACACCCACTGTGAAACATGGTGGTAGCAGCATCATGCTGTGGAGATGCTTCAGTAGGAACAGAGAACCAGGTCAGAGCTGACGTGAACATGGAGCTAAATACAGGACAGTCCTGGAAGAAACCCTGTTAGAGGCTGCTGGAGACCAGTCTGAGGATCACCTTCCAGCAGGACAAAGACCTGAAACATCCAACCACATCTACAGTGGAGTGGGTCACATCAGAACATGTTCATGTTAGAACGGTCCAGTCTGAGTCTAGACGTAAATCCTGCTGAGAATCTGTGGAACAACCTGAAAACTGCTGATCATCAAACGCTCCATCCAGTCTGACTGAGCAGCTGCTGATCTGCAGACAACAAGTTTCAGGAGCTGGAAGAGACGAATCCCAAGACCCACAGCTAAAAGTTGTTCTACAAATTCATGTTCTCCTTCTACTTCATTCTTACTCAGCACTAGGGGTGGCTGTGGCTGAGTGGTTAGAGCAGTCGTTCTCCAATGCGAGAGTTGGGGGTTCGAATCCACCAGCAGTCACATGTCGAAGTGTCCCTGGGCAAGACACTGAACCCCTCATAGCCTCTGATGTGTGTCCCATCAGTGTATGAATGTGATCTAAAGCTCTGATTAGTCTCTTTAGAATGATTTGTTCAATTACCTTTGTAGAGATCTAGTAGAGTGCTGTATGAATGGGTTAATGAGGACACAGATTGTAGTGTAAAGCGCTTTGAATATCTTGAAATAAGATAGAAAGGCGCTATATAAGTACAGTCCATTTAGCACTTTGTGCTGTCAGTAAAATACTTTAAAGTTTGTGGATGTAATGTGGCAAAGCATGGAAGAGTTCAGGTGTGAAGACACTGAACATGCAGCACGTCTCCCTGCAGACAGCTTTAAAGCTGTGGTCCGAATGGTTGTGCACAGTTCTCCATACTCCAGCTGAGTTAACTCTTTAATGTACACAAACTGCTCCATTCTACACACGACACATTTGAGGACTTTTTATACTTTGGGCTTTATCAAACACTTTACACAACAATTATTCTTCATCTAAAGAACTACACATTAATATGTCAGGTGGGTGTTACTATGACAACAAACAAAACATGGTTGTAAATGAAAACTGGAAGCAGCCACCATCCTGATTAGCTTTCTCATTTATGTGTTTGTGTCTTTTCAACATAGAGTTAAACTAACCCTACCATTAGTTAGGTGTTGTTTTATTTTTGCAGTAACAGAAGAAATGTGTTAGTCCTACTGGGTAGTCCTCAATAGGTGCAGTTCATCCTCCAGACAGGAAATCCTTTCCATCAGAGCAGCTCTGTCAGCCTGAGCCCTCTGCTCGGCCTGCTGCTGAGCCTCCTGCACCTTCTGCTCATACCAGCGCTCTATCTGTGTCAGCACCGCCTCAAAGAAGCACTGGGTCACCTCCATGGCGTGCATATTGTCCCTTTCCTGAGCAAAGGTTGCCCCACCAGGCTGATTTCCAAAACCTTCTGGAGTCCTGACCCCTGCTGCCTCTCTGGACTTAGTCCTGCCTTGGGGATGCTTCTTGGAGTGCTTCCTGCTGACATGGCCACGCTTGCCATCTCTGCTGCTACAGAGGCGTTCTGTGCTCGCAGGCGGGGTGCTCGCTCTGTGCTTCTGTCTGCTGCTGACCTCCAACTTTACCGAGTCCAGGTCCTGCAGGTCCTGGTTCTTCCTCTGCGTGGCTGCAGAGATCACTGGGCGCTCCTTTGGTCGAACCACCTGGGCTGATGCTGCCGGTGCTGTGGTCTCTGCTTTGTGCGTCGTATCACCATCTGTTTGGAGTAGAAATTAGAGTAAGTTAATGTTTTGTCACCCTGTAAGCACAAACCATATTACTAATTCAATTCCGTTCAGTTTATTTATAAAGCGCCAAGTTACAACAGAAGTCATCTCAGGGCACTGAACAGAAACGAGGTTGTAAGCTCAATCATAGCACTTATACTTATCAGAATCAGAATAAGCTTTATTATCATTGTACCAAGATACAAGAAGAATATGTCCGTACAGTCATCTGAAAGATGGGCGGAGTGCACGAAGCTGCTGCGATGATAGCGCGGCCACTCATCCTTTTCAGAATACATTTTTTAGATAGAAAAAGGAACAAAGCCACGAAGAGAGGATAGTGGCATTACAAAAAAGAGCTCTTTACACCTTGTCCTAACAGGACACGATTTAAGACATAAAAAAAACTCTGCCAGCTAAAGCACATTTATGAACACGTTACATATACATTTACGATGAGGCGGTCCATGGAGCACTAACAGATAGTCCATTGTCCTGATAAGAGGATGGTCAGCCGGCACAGTTCTGATAAGCCTCCACAGAAGTTGGTGTGTGTGTGTGTGTGTGTGTGTGTGTGTGTGTGTGTGTGTGTGTGTGTGTGTGTGTGTGTGTGTGTGTGTGTGTGTGTGTGGTGGTGGT